GAGAAAGAGGGAGGGAGGGAAGGGAAGAAAGATAAATAATTCAGTTAGAGGATTCACAATGGGAATTTCGGTTCGATGGTGAGCACGGCGAGAGCAAAAAGCTTTTAAAGATTGGGAAGAAGATAGAGCAAACATGGGGAGAGAGGGAGGGAGGAAGAACGGGAGACCAGTGTTCAAGAGGACGGAATCTACGTTGGATAATATCGACACAGTGTGGTAAGGAGAGAAGGATAATGCGTCACGTGTAGGTTAGTTGGCGGTCATGCGAACGACACACGTATTTTCATTTCGTGTTTTTCTGCGGGCCGTGTTTCGCTTGGGACCGGTAAACGTTCGCTCGACTTTATCCAGATAATCTGAATCGAGTAAAGCGATCGAAATCGAACGGGAATTACATCGAGCAAACTAATCTGATTTAGAGCCACTTACTATCGAAAGCTCGAATGCACGCCGATCGAAAACTCGTGGAAAACTCGTCCCTTCGACTTTTATCTTCTTCTTCCCCCCCCTCCCCCCGCCTACATTTAAATTCGACGATTCCGCGAGATCCCCTCAAGTTTCTTTCAATTCGAAATAAAGAATATAATAGTATAATAGGTCGATATTCGAGGCAGATATATACGGATGAGAAAACGATTTCGAGGTGGAGATTTATATAGGAGAAATGCAACCGGTTAATAATTCGTTGAACAGGCGTGTCAAGCTCGTTCTTCTCCGGTATTTTTCCTTTAAAGTCTCGCTCGTCGATAAGCTTCCTGCCTATTCCTTTATTTCCTATTTTCTTCTCTCTCTCTCCTCTTCGACGTGTAAGTATATACCGAATCTTCAAAGTTTTGTTGGAAACGTTTAATCGACGAGAAGGTAGAGGCCGAGAAATAAACGTTGCGAAGAAGTCTCGTTATTTGGCGTAAAATTGGCAAGGCCAATTGCAAGTAACCGGGTACGATGGCGCATCACGCGAAATTCTGTTCTCCTAGTCGGACAATTTCTACCGTTCGCGAAAAACTCGCGATTTCACGGTTTTTTTCCACGTGAGTTTCCTCGCCACCAAGATAAATGGATTTTCGATTCAACCGACGAGAGAGAGAGAGAGAGAGAAGAGAGAGAGAGAGAGAGAGAGCACGTCACCACGTTTTCCGAATGAGATAACGTGAGCGTATAAATATCGCGTACAACTTGTGTATAGAATAAATATCAATAACACCGGGTCATCTTTTTACATACTCGAGTTGAAGAAACGCGAGTTGCAGAGAAAAAAGAATCAAAATGTTTCGACACGAAGCCGCGGAAAATATAGAAGATTCCTACGCTTTCGTCGTTCTCGATACGACTTCGAGTGTAAGTACAAGCACTTGTAAGACGAATCTTATGTAGTTCGTATTGTTGAAAAGCTACGGTTAAGAACCCTCCAAGGGACTTGATTCGTGGAAAACGGCAATGTGAGGAACACGGGACAGTGTCGTTGTTACAAGTAAGAAAGAAAAACACCTATGCGCCGAATAAAACAGTCTATTACCGACTCGACTTTACGCTTCTCTCTTTTCCTTCCTTCTCCTTCTTTTCTACGATCTATCTCGAGCGGTCAATTAACAACTCTCTAGCTTTAAGTCGATCGAATTAGTCCCTTTAATAACTTTACGTTTATGCTTTGTCATAAATAACTTGAAATTTTATACATCGTTGTAATGTTTTCCTCGATAACGATAAAGCTTTATTGAAATTTGATTTAAAAGAAATTAATATTAACTGACAGAAGAAAAAACTGCGCTAATTATGGACCATTTTGACTAGTCGAAATTATATAAATAATAAATGAAATCGTCGTTCAAAGAATTAAATGTTATTTCTATTAGAAATCATAACAATAATTCTATGTTATGGCAAAAATTAATTTATCAAGATAAGATAAAATAAAATCGAGTTCGTAAACGGTAACAAAGTTCAATGATTCATTCGATATAATGCAACTATCATAGGACAATTTAATTGTATATTAAAAAAGAATAGTGTTAATTATGAATTCACCTGTAACTATTTACCAATAATCTTGTATGAATTTACATTGCCGACATCAAACTTCAATTTCACTGAAATTTCATTTCTATTTATCTTTTTTTAATAATTTTTTTAAAATTAAATTCAATCAATCGTATCGGTGAATGATGACAAAAAGTAGAAATAAATATCGATACATATGAGTAAATCGATTAATTTCCAAATTAATAATCCTGTCTACCTTATATGTAAATATTTATGAATCATACTGTGACTCCTATTTCAAAAACGATCCTTTATATCTTATATCCAATATTATATACTAGTTTTTCTTATAAGATTTCTTTTTTAATCGAGATTACTTTTTAAACGTGAAACCTCAAACGTGAAGACACGATAATATTGAGTATAGTCAAAGATGTACAATCACAATGGCAAAGAAATATTCATTGTTGTTTGAAGAAGAAAAAACGAAAAAATCCAGTAGCGTTGGTAATAGTGGCAAAAATCTCGCACTCGCGCGCGGTAGCATCGTAACGACACGCTGCTACGAAATACCAAGTACACTCGACCGCCTTTGAAACCGGTATAAAAAGGGCGAGCGACAGGCTACTGGAACACGCTATTAAATAGGCCGAGCTACTAGAAGAGAAATGATTAATCACCGCGAAAGTGTCTTTTCACCTTAAAAATTACTCGCATGACAAATGCGATCAATTAATATTCTCCTATATTGTTATTTCTCTTTCGATCCAATCCACGAACAATCCTTGTTTGTAATATCCAAAAAGGGAAAGTAATTCGCTATTTTTTAATCTTTTTTCTATCACTTTAACTTATATTTTCTCATATTTCCATATATCTTTATATTTCTATTTTTTTTTATTTCAATATTAGTATTTAATATTTATAATATTTATTTAAAAAATAATTAGGAAACTATATATAAAGTATATATGTATATATATAAAACAAAATTTGTATACAAGCGTTAATTCTAAAAAAATTAAAATTAATTCATATTAATAATTATTAGAATTATTAAAAATGAAATCATTTCTAATCTAAATATATATTATAAAGTCATTATATCCAGTTAGGTTGGATATTTTGTTTTCCTGTCATTTCAAAATAAGGTTATGTTCTTGTTTCTTTCTATTGTTTTATCACTTTGAACAACAATATTTGATGTAATTTATCACGTAATGCTAATCATCAACTTGATAAAAGCAATAAAATATGAAATTTTATATGAAAGTTTAAAATAAAGTATTATCTTTATGATTATTATGTTAAAATATGTTCTATAATAACGCATCAATAATTTCAAAACATCTTAAATTTTACTTAGAATACTTGAATTATTTGAAATCATTTTTGTTATATAAGTTCTAAAGGAAGATTAGCATGTATCGATGCGATGGCAAATGATTAAAAAATTGTAATTATGTTACTTTATTTTAAAATATTGGCTTGGGAAAGCTTGTCGATAAGTTGTTTCAAGAATATATTATTACCAAATATCTTTTACGCGAAAACTTGCAAACAATTTTTTTGTATGAAATACAATTTCAAATCATAATTCTTCATACATTAACCATATCTTAACCAATAAATGTTACTATCTTTTTTAGTTGGAGTAATCTTGAATTAAAAATAAACTTTCATTCTATGTTATCAAAGATAAATATTAAAATAAAAACAAGGAATGTGGAGAAATATATTAAATGAACTTACCCTGCGAGTAATACAGAATTTAGGAAGGGTGGTACAGTTGGCAAACTGGATAGACACAGTGGTGGAGAACCGGTAAGTTGTTTCGAAGCGATACATGAACATCGGGTGGCATAGAACTCACGTAGTGATTGTCGTTTGTATTGCTCGTACGCACAAATACCACCGTCCATACACTATATACACACACCGTCATTCGGCGAAAATCTGGCAATTACTTTACACTTATATCCAAGTAATCGAGGATCATGACACGATACGTACGGTACGGTACGATACAGCAAAGCAAGGCACGACACGACACGACACGATACAACACGATACGGCACGACACGACACGACACTATACGACACGACACGGTAAGGTAAGATAGGATTCGCCGCAACAGGATATGCACTAAAAAAGTAGCGAAAATTGTAAAACTAGAGGCACCACCTCGAAGAGATAAGATTCTTCAAATATGTGTGACGGCGGGGGCTACGGATTAATATGGCCGTCCCTCGTTGACACAAAGTTTGGAGTCACACGTAAAATGCAACCCCAAAGAAATGCTAAAAACAGATTGATTGGAATATCGTTGGCAAGAGAAAGACTTGTTCGCGTACGACTTGCACGCATTTGTTTTACTCGCGACACCATAAACCACCCGCGATTCTACGTATCACTCACTTCCGTATCACCCTGTTGTATTCTCCACGCGCTTTCCAACTTTTCTTCTTTCTTTCCTTCTTACTTCTGCTCTTCGACAGACTATTCGTCCACTTCTCTCCCTGTCACATAAAAATCCCTTTAAACTTTTGCTGGGCACGTTCCTTGCCCGTTCTCCCTCTCTTCTTTCTCCTCTCTTCTGTTCGTCGTTTTCGTCGAATACTGCGAGAGGGATTCTGTGAATACCGCACTCACGTTTCGAATTATCAACAACTTTTTCACTGTATCGCGTTCTCGTATAAAAACACCACGAGACTCGTGGAAGCATTCGAATAATCACGTTCTTTTCACGCTTTTCGAGGACGTGACGCGACCTTGCTGTGAACGACGTCAACATCACCACCGTACGCTTTCATGGCAGCCATCTTTTCGGGATACGCGAATCGCGGAACGGAAAACGCACACGCGTGTATATCTCCAATACATGCATTCACGCGCGACCGCTTATGTATGTATACACAATGGTCCTCTACTACGAATACCGAACAACGAGAATCAAGAGCGAGGGAGACACTTGTGCGCACGCATACATATACAACCTAATCATGCTAGCCTGGATATTTGGATAGCGAACGGCAATCCAGACACCGAACTAAAGAACAGGGAATGGTTGACGTTTCTTGTTTAACAGGGAATTGTGGCGCTGCTGTCCCTTCTCATTCGTTATCTTTCTCTTTATTCGTCTCTTCCTGTAGTCTTTACAAAATTTCTCAACCAATCACAATTTCATTCTTACTGTAACTGTTTTCATGATCTAGGGATTTTTTTCAGTTTCGAATCTTTACTTTTCTCATTCCTAGGAATTATAATTTCTTTTTAATTGAATTTTACGCGCATTTTTTAAATCGGTTTTTCTACTTTTTATTATTCGTCGAATATTTCACCTTTTGGACATGTACTTAGTTACATGTTCAATATTCAATAATACATATAACATATTTACACTCTCATAAAGTATTTATTTATATTTAATATAATATTTAACATGGAAGATTTTGCGCCCTTGAGGTAGGTATCGATAAAGTTAATAAAAAATTCCTTTTACAAATATTCCTATTTACTTGTATGCAGAATAATTATACTTTCGAAATAGTAACATTTCTTAATCTATAAATAGTATATATGTGTATCAAAGTTTCATATAAAATTACATTTTTGCATAGTAAAATTTCATATAATTTTGAAATGTAAAAACATTCCTGTTGAAAATATATATATATGTATATATATATAAAGACAAACAATTTTTTCATACGTTTCTCTTTGTACATTAACACGAACAAACATTTCGATGTTTTATATGCACATTAAAAACAATATGGAATGGTTTTTTTTCATATTTTTAAAAATACTAAATTTTCTGTACATTTTGACATGGCAGTAGATTTTTATATTAAAACGATATCGGTACCTTTGTATAATCTTTAAAATTATAACTTTAATATCTCTTGAACTGCAGCAACAATTTTGTTTGAACTAATTCCATATTTATCCAATAATGCAGTTGGAGGACCAGAACGTGGTACTTCGGGAATAGCTAGCTTCTTTACTACAATATTTCTTTCCAAAGCAACTGCTGAAAGTACAGCTTCACCCAGACCACCTTCCGCATAATGATCTTCAACTGTAATAACTCTTCCTCCAACTTCTTTGGCATTTTTTACAATTAGTTGGGCATCGAGTGGTTTAATTGTAAATGGATCGATCACTCGAATATTTATTCCTATTTTAAATAATTCATCAGCAGCTTTAAGCGCTTCGTGCAAAGTTACACCAGCTCCAATTACAAGTACTTGATCTTTCGCAGAAGATTTAACCACTTTGCCTTTTCCAATAACAAAAGGTTCTTCGTTTTTATATATAACTGCCGTGGAAGGACGAGAAGTGCGTACGAAACAAACTCCCTTTGTATTAGCTGCTAATTCGATGGCGCGTTCCGTGGCAACAGCATCGGTTGGATAGAAAACAGTAGAACCAGGAATTGTACGGAACATAGCTATATCTTCCAGACCCATTTGTGATGGACCATCCTCTCCGATCGAAACACCGCAATGAGAACCAACAAAATTAACATTTGTTTGTGAAATAGCACCCATACGAATCTGTAATAATAAATTTAATAAATAAAAATTTAGATTTTAAATAAAAATTGACAATAATATTTTAATTCTATATTTATATTATATATATATATATTCTATATAATTTTATTTATATATTTATTTTATTATATTTATTTATTAACATATTTTTACCTGATCAAAAGCACGAGTGAAAAATGTTGCAAACGCAGATACAAATGCAACAGTTCTGTCTCTGCATGCAGCACCGATTGCTACTCCTACTATATTTTGCTCGGCAATAAAACCTTCGATAAATCTAGATGGATCGACCGTTTTGATTTTTTCAGCATATGTTGAATTCTTTGTGTCTCCATCTAGAGCAATGACACGAGAATTGTTCTTCGCTAGCTGAAGCAAAAAATACAACAAAAATATATACTTATCTACAAATACATATATCCTAAAAAGAAAATATACAAACCTTAACTAAAGCAGTACCATAAGCCAGTCTTGTAGCAACTTGTTCTCCTAATTTATAATTCGGAGGCGATGCTAATTTAATATTATTAACATCTACTACTGAAACATCATCAACTAATGGTTTCTGAGGATGTAATCCTAAAGGACCAGGATTTTTCAACATTCCAGTTAAATGCTACAATTGAAAAAATATTAATCTTTTAAGACATAAAATTATTTTATAAAAATAAAAATTGTAATTTTAAAAATTGTGTTACTTACTTGAATAATTTCATTTGCTTTATTGCCAAGAGGTTTTCCATGCCAATTTTCTTGATCTTCAATAGTAGGAAAATATTTACCTTTGTATGTTTTTGCTAGTATAGCAGTAGGTCGTCCTTTTGTATTTTGTGCTTCATGAAAAGCCTTATAAATAAAATGTTATTTCAAATTTGCTATTAATTTTTATCTATATATAAATATGCAAATATACCTTGGCTAATTCTTCTACATCGTGACCATCAACAACCAATGCATTAAATCCAAAAGCTTCAAGTCTTTTGCGATAAACTTCCATATTATGTTGAAGAGATGTTGGTTCACTTTGACCTAAACGATTTATATCAAAAATAGCACAAAGATTATCCAACTTATAATATGATGCAAAATGAAGTGCTTCCCATATTGATCCTTCTGCAGCTTCTCCATCACCAATCAAACAATATACACTATATATGCAATAATATAAATTTATTATTATATTTTGAAGAAATATAAAAATATAATATTGCTTGTGAAAAAAAATTTAAAATAAACAATAAAGAATAATTATTTGAGAACATACCGATAATTGGCTTTGTCAAAATTTTTTCCCACATAAGCCATCCCTGCAGAAACTGAGAGCCCTTGTCCCAAGGAACCAGTTCCCACATCAATAAAATTAAGTCTTGGTGTAGGATGTCCTTCTAAATCACTATCAAGTTTTCTTAAATTTAGCAATTCACTTGTTGGGAAAAGTCCTGCTTCTGCCCATGCTACAATTACATAAATAATATATTATAATTTAGATATTTTACGTTTCGTAAAATACTCGAATATTCGATGTACATATTTAAAATGTTTACCTGCATATAGAATAGGAGCAGCATGACCTTTGCTCAATACAAATCTGTCGCTACTTAGATCACGTGGTGCTGATACTTTGTAACGCATCGTATGAAAAAATAAGACGGACATAATTTCTGCCATAGAGGAACATGACGTTGGATGTCTAAATAAAAGTAAAAAAAAAAAAATAAAATAAAATAAAATAAAATAAAAAATTGTATAAAATTTGAATTATCAAATTTAAGATTGTAAAATATATCATGAATTATTTATATATTTCATAATAATAATGAACTTATTATCAAAGGTCATAAAGGTCATTAATCTCGATCATACGATCGTTGAATATTGAAATGATTATTATAAAATGTCGTTATGTAATATAGTCCGTATTTAATGTAAATAATTATCATTAAGTACCTATATTGCAAGAATTCTTGTTTCTTTTTATATTTTTTTATTAGCGAAATTTATATTATTGAATTTCATTGGTTTATATATATAATTTTTATATAATTTCATATTAATAATTAAATAAATGCTTTTTTTTTATATTCTTCATATTTTACTGATTTATTGTATTAAATTCTATTTTAATTTTAATTGTATATCATTTCATATAATTAAATCATTATTTAACAATTAAATAAATGATTTTCTAAAATATTTAAACCATGTATTGATTATTTGCAAATTAATTGTAAAGATTTTTAATAAAATTAAAGTATTAAGATATAATATAATCTTGCAATTTAAAATTAATTCTGATATAAAAGCATCACTTATTATAATAAAATATTAATTAACTAAAATATATATATAATGACTCTTTTTTATTAAATTTTTCCGCATATAATTATTTGAAAGAAAATCATTTAAGCATGTTATGGAAAAATATTAATATGTTAATAATACAAATCTTAATAATATTTTAAAATAAAAATCATACAAAAAATATGTTTTACAATTTCTGATAAAAATATGAAAATTTCCGGACAACTTTTCTGCATCATACCCGCTTTTTGATGCTTCTGTCGCTTTAATACACTGAATGCGAAGCCTGTTCGCAAGATCTTGAAGATTTTCCACATTTATATCGCGCACCATTATAAACTACAGAGAAATCCTTTCTGTAATCGTTTCTCAACGAGCGTTCGATAACAACTGGCAATGAGTAACACAGCCTTTTGCTCAGTAACTGCGCGCTGGAACTCCCTACTTTCTTCCAGACGAGTTATCGTAGATTTCAAAATCAATGTTCATATTTATATTTTATAAATTGAATCGAACTCTTTGAAATTTATGATTCCAGAACTATTTACTTACATTGATATCAAAAAAAAAAAATGAAAAAAAAAAAAAAAAAAAAAAAGAAAAAAAATTTATATTTATATATGTGAAAGAGAAAAACGCACATATATTAACATTTGATAGTAGATATTTTTTATCAGCATTACATTTTAAAAATAATAATTAGCTCGTAAAGAATATACAAATAAATAGATATTATATAATTATATTATATAGTGGTAATATATTAATGAAATTTATTTTAATTTAAATATAATGCATGTTTTTTTATACACATTATTTTATACGTCATAATTTTTTTAATGAACTTCTTTATCATTTTTATTCATATATATTATAGATATTGCAAAGAGATAAATAAACAATTTATATTCCAAGATTATATAAAAAAAATTACATATATTAAAAAATTGTTCAAAATATTACATCTAAAAAATTTTAAACGAGATATTTATTAAAATTGTCAATATTTAATATATTCTTCAATCTATTCAATACTATCATACATTCGTTATGTAACTATATACTATATTTCATAGCGTGCATTTTGGTATCATGCACGTGCTAGCTATGCGATTACTACATATAAAAGGAGACATAAGAAAACATGATACGATTTCCTGTCTATCTTTGGGCTTTGACTTTTTAGAACTTTTTTTTATAGAGTTAATCACTCGAAAATTTTTAACCTACTGTAGTATATATTCTTATTAATTATATAAAAATATAGTCTATTATAAAAATTTTAATTATAATATTATAGATACGATAGTATGCATGTTTATGAATACATTTAATATTCAATAATTTATCTAAATTAGGGTATGAAGATTTTCTTAATATTTTAATA